TTTTAACTTTCTGAATGTTTTTTAGTATAAAAAACAAAAGCAACTGTAAATAACCTGGCTGAAACTCAATCTAAAATGTTCCGTGTTGACTTTTTCTGTGCCATCTGTTGCCCTCTATTGCTTGTCCCTAACTGTGTTTTTTTTTCTTTATCTATGTCTAGTTTCAATATTGAGCCAAACTACGACTTTTTGTATATCTATGATGGTCCGGATAGCAACAGTCCTCTGATTGGTAGCTTCCAGGACAGCAAACTCCCAGAGCGGATAGAGAGCAGTTCGAATACCATGCATTTAGCATTCCGCAGTGATGGGTCTGTTTCTTACACTGGCTTTCACTTGGAATACAAAGGTAAAATTTTCTGCCAACAGTACCATCCATCCTTATGTACTATGTATTGTTTACTGCTGGAATAGCTTCTAAATGACAGGGCAAACAACACAAACCACAGATTTTTCATTCTCAGGGAGATTTAAGTTTGTATGAAAATATTTACAGCAGGGGGACTTCTTAACAGCACAGAAACATTTCACTCTGGTATGATAACTAAACACATCTACAATATCATCATGATTACCTAAGCAAAAGCAGCATAATGTATTCTGCATTTGTTATGTAATAGTTTATATCTTAAACCAGAAGCCACCTGGAAGTAGACTCCACACATGTACGTCTTTCTCTGAAAATAGATTAAAAACCGTAAAGACACATTCCATCTGGGAGTGTTATACAGCCACCTTGTAACAGTCAATTGTTGAAAAATAATTTTAATATACTCTGCTTGATGTAATTGCACTAGGGGCTGTTTTCTGTCTTATCTGTTTTTCATAAGCAAGGTAACTTGGGAAACTACTACTACTAAGTATTCACACTCAACGGGACATCATGTTTCAGATGTCTCCCGTGATGACAGGATGTCTCCAGAATGTGTTTAAAAATATTACAATTTATTATTTAACAAGGAAGACTACTGCAATACCCCTAAATGCTCAATACAAATATATTTGCAATTAAGTATCCCACACTGCTGACAGTGTGCATCCAGGGGCGGGTCCAGAGAATTTTCTGGTGGGGGGCACAGGGGGTAACAACAATTAATCATGTTATTTGTACTGTACCAACATCACAGTGGCAACAATGATATGATACTCTGTTGTTGACTGTTAATTCATGTCACAAAACGCGAAACATACAACGGATGCTAATTGGCGATTCGTGGTTGCCAATACGATTCAAGGACGATATTGGTTCATTTAGAACGATACGATCCGAAACGATTCAGTGACTTGAAATCGATTCAGTAACTTTTTAGCCAAAAATTCAACCAGTGTGAAGCTGAAAATAAATACCCCTGGATACTGGAAACAGTGGCAAGGTTGGGAAAAAAACAAAAAAAAGGTTTTTCCCTAGATTCCTGTTGTTTTTCTTGTAAGGAATCAGGTAATCAATAGGTGGCATTTTCCCCTTCAAGCCATTCCAAAAAGGAGGAAACCACCTTTGCGACAGCCAGGGACACGGCACACAATTAGCGCAATGATTGACCATTACCCGAGTCATGACCCATTGGGGGGGCCCACACCGGGTGGCCAATCAGATTACGGGGGGGGGGTTGCCACCATGGAAGCCCCACTGCCTTTCTTTGACAGAGCTTGCATTTCTTCCTTTGAATTCACAAAAAGCTTTTGAAAAAATTGGTCAAATCAAAGGGAAGTCATGCAAACTGCTACAATGACTGTCCTTTCTTGTATAAAGTCATCCAACCCAGAACCACTGTTACAAGCTTGAGTCAAATAAAATCAAACTGTGGCCTCAACCAACCCACCCCTGTGCAAATCCGTTTAATAGGCCTAGTCAACGCAGTGTATCACTCAGCATGCCATTTCTGAAGGTCACACATTTCATCTCACTTTTTTAGAAAAGCCGCTGCACATTCTGTCACTGCGAGCCTCAGTAGTCACCACAAAAAATTGTCCTGATGTGGCTGTTTGGTTGTACGAGAGGGCAAAAAGTCACAGCTGCTGGCACTTACACTTTCCTAATTTGCATTAACTTCCAAACGAAATGACTAATTATTACGTGGAGGAAGTGTTCTAACTTTGTGTGACATTTACTTCCAAACATTTAAGCAGCTGACCTCGGGGCAGAACACCTGAGCTCACTCTGTGGCAGCGCTCCTCAACCACACCAGTCCAAAACCACAACTCTTCTTCTCTGTGATCTGGACTATGTCAAACTGTGTGTGTGTGTGTGTGTGTGTGTGTGTGTGCGCGTGTCCGTGTCCGTGTCCGTGGAGGGCTGTTAGGAACACATGTGGTTCCCTTTGACCAGACCACTGGTTTCCTCAGTGGGCTCTTCAACAGGCTATGATGAATAGGAGTCTGAGCTACAAGACACATGAAACCTTGCATTGCTGTCAGAAGCAGGGATGAAGAGAAATAGAAGGAAAGAGACAAAGAGAGAGAATGACAGAAGCAGAAACACAAATGAGTGCTTTACAAGAAAAAGTTACCAAAAAACACATCGATCGAAAAGTAATAACAGCAGTTTAATGAGACACCTTTTATAACTCCCCTCAAAAAGCAAAAAGCAAAAGAAGAGACAGACAGAACAGACAAGGAGAAACAACCAGGGAAGAACCAATGAAAAACTTGAATACAATGAATAAATATGCAAAGAGACAAAATAGCAAGAAAGAGAATAATGTCGTTTTTGACAATGAAAACAGAATGAGGTAACTAACGTGATATTATGATTTCTCAAGAAAAATGTTTTTATTTAAATCTGCAATAACAGATTTGTTGGCCATGTGGGAGCAGCAAAAACAAGTTATGAACACAACCTTTTAGAATTATCTTTTAGAACAGTTTTGTTTGCAGAAAAGCCGGTATCTGTATGTATGTCCAATAGTCACTGTCTATTAGCTCTGTTTTTGGTCTCCACCAACTCCTTTAGGGAAAAATCGGTCTCTTAAGCTGTTAAAAACTCCACTTTGTTCACCAGCTAGTCACTAACTTTGTCTCTCTGCTGTTTGGTGCTGAGCAGGTAGTGTACAGTAAGTTTTTAGAGCTTTTTCACTAAAAACAACTGCCTGTTGTGACAAAAATGACACTTTGAAAGTGGTGGGAGTGAACCAAAACTGGCGTGACAGCTAAACAATGAGTTGAGTCTCACTATCAAAGCTGAGGGGAGCAACACATTTGGGTGATACTTATCGGTATAATTGTCGCTTCATCCCTATGAGCAATGCCTTTCACATTACACATTGTCATAGATGCATTGTTATGATATCATTGTAAACATGTTAAAGCTGCACTAATCAATATTTTTAAAATAACAATGGATCAAATAACTCTGTAATGTGAATTGTGTCGCTCATAATTATCAATCACCTACCTCTAAGCATTTTAGTGTCTTTCAGCTTCCTGTTTTGATTTTAGGGCCCACATATCTACAAAATATCGCAGATAGTCGCTGACATCTCCATTGTTATGGCCTTGATGTGCGTCATATGAACTTTATAAGATGATGATAAGCTAATGTTGTGTTTACTGCTTGTTGCTTGTTCCCCCAAAGTTTCAAAAAAACAACAATGCAATTAATGTTAGTTTAGTGTTTTAGTGTCATATTAGTCATTATTGCATTAATGGTTGGAGCTGATTTCATGCTTTTAATTTGCTCGACTTTATAGGATTTCTTATTAATAACCATTAGTGTTTTGTAATACACTTGTATATCGTTTAACATAATAAAGCTATTATTACATTCTTGGGGGGTGAGAAACAGACAGACACAACAGCAACAGTTTAAAGAAAGTGAAATGGAAAACAGGGGGCATGTAAAAGCTGAGGCAGGCATCAGTCAGAAGTAGAGACTTTGTGTTCTCCCCTCAGAGTGTGTGATTAAACCCACCACATCCACATCCCCTCTATTATCATCAGCCACCGCTGGCCCCATGCCTGGCCCTCCACCAGCAGCCCCAACAGCTTAGCCTTACTAGACAAACATGGCCAGGAGGACGCTGTGGATTGCTGCTGCCCACAGCCGCCAGCAGCACGCTACTGCTTACATGACATCACTGCTATTTAGGGAAAATTACAGTAGAAGGAGATGCAGACAGTCTGATTTCACTGCTGGCCTACTGCTGCTGGCTTCCAAGTATACCACACAAACAACCATGTGTTCAGTCACACACACACCTACACCTCTGGTTGCCAGATAGATTATAGGTTTTCTGTAAGTAATCCCTTTACTGTTCCACAGCAGCAGAACCCGCAGCCACCAGTTCCAGACTGTGTGTGTGTGTGTTTCTGTATCAGTCTGAGGCTTTTCAACACCTGAATGGAGACAGGAGACGTTTTCGTTACCACGCAGCAATAAATTAGTCTATAGTTTACAGGAGCCCCTGGACTTTAGTTTGGTCTTCTAGTACAAACATTAAAGGCACTGTTTTCTGCACATGTGAGTGTATTTGTGTTTTTAGGACCCTGATCGTGTTTTCTCAGGCTCAGTGTGTGTTTCAGGCTGATTGGAGGTGAAAGAACATGTGTCTTTAGCATTTATTTCAAAGAGATATTCCCTTAGAGACCTCATTACAATCAAGACAGCCAAGTTTTTAGGTGTGTGAGAGAGATTGTGAGTGTGAGGGGGGTCCTTGGAATGCTTTGCACAAGACCCTGCATTCTCCTCACCTTTCTTTATTTGGAACCTTACTAAAGCTTCCTACAAGTGTTTGCTATTGCAAAACTATTTTAATTTTATATGTATGGATATGTGAAAATTGGATAAATTGCTGTAAATGTCAACTCCACAGCAAATAGTTTATTTAATAATAAATAAATTCTACAGAAGAACAGATAAAAAGAAGCAACCAGATTACAAACCTGCTGAGCAGATGCAACAAACCATCTGTCTGCACTTGTAGAAACCTCCTACACATCAAAAATATCATAAATATCTCAAACACTGGAAAACATGTGAACAGGTTTATTAGGCTAAAACCGAGCCATAAAACCTTGTTTTTCTAAAACAATACTGTGATGACATTTAATTTGTTGCCAAGGCAGTTTAAACTGGAGCTGATTTTATTGAAACAAATGACATTATTTTGGAATAAAGTGTATCATAGAAATATGAAGATATTTAATATAAATAAAGAAATCTGGCTACAAATCTGTACAAGTGTTTTGGCCATGCTACAGCCTTTTGTGTGTGTAATACATAAAAATAACAGAGAATAAGATCATACTTGCATGTTGTTTTTAATATCTTGGTTAAAGTAGCTAAAAATCACACAGACAAACAAAAGAGCACTTTCAACACCAATACACTAGACAGAAACCTATTGGAAATGCTCCCTATCTCCTCCTTTGATAATTGCTTCGCTTGTCCAGTGATCCATTTGAAGGCTCAGTAAATTACTAGTTAGGATAGATTTGTGCTAGAGTGAATCAAGCTTGTGTATCAAGTGAAATTAAACAAATACTTCAAAACATATCAGAGTGCTGTCTGAATTGATCTGGCATGCTCCCTTTATAACTGCTTACCTTCAACAGTGTGGGGCTCTAATGGTTTCTCCAGAAGCACAAAATGGCTCCAGCACTGATATCACTGATCCTCCCGACGGTCCTCAATATTTAGACAAAAGGTAATTAAACCTCCTGATGGGAGTTATTGTGTGTTTGAAAAACATTAAGGGAAGTAAAAGACAGAGAAAGAGAGAAACGCAAGGGGACCAATCTAATGTAGCTTGATAAAGTTTTTTCACACCATGAATATATTTATTTTATAGAATTATTTCACTTTTCTGCTCTAGATATAATACTGACATATTACCTCTCATAGAGCTGTTTTGGCTAACATGTTACAGTTCTATTTCTATATTTATGTGAAAATCTATTTAGATATCCAGCTGACATGAAGCAACATTAGCATCCATTTAAAGTTGTGTTTCTGGCCACCTTATGAATGTATCCATATGTTCACTCACCTGTTAGCTGTGGTTTTCACCAACAAGAATTTGAGAAAAGAATACACTGGGTTCACCGTTTGGCATTGAGAAAGTACTTTACAGTGGGTTTATCAGAGGAGTTTGGAAACATGGTTGATGAGCCTGAAAACCAAAATAATGAACATAAAAATAAAATGAAACACAGTCTCACTAGAAGTTAAAGTATTTAAAGTATTTCTGAAGTGACCATGTCTCCATACACATAGTCATTTGATCCATCATTAACATAAAATACAGTGATTGATGCAGCTTTATAGTCAGCCCTCTGTTCCTTGAATCTATAGATGTTTTATTTTAGTCCAGTAACACCTGTATGAGTGAGTTCACAGTGGGGGGCAGCCCTATCAGAGATGGTTAGTCTTTAATAGCTGGTTGCAGTAATTACAGGGAGCATCTCCCTCTAGGGAGCAAGTCTGCTCAGAAATCTTGGCATGCCACACACACACACACACACACACACACACACTTCCATAGAGGGTGCCACTGTAGATTAACTCAGTGAGATGTGTCATTAACATCAGGTTTCACAGTGTGAAACTCACTAAGAGCATCTGTCTCATTAGATATAAAAAATGAAAATCCTGTTTTACTGCCTTCCACTTTTAGACTCTTTCTGTCCCCCTCTTTAACACTTGTTTCCTGCTCCTCTTTCCTCATATAACACTCTCTCCTCCATCTCATTGTGTCTCTGTGAGGATTTCTCAGCTGAGCTGTTATGATGGAGATAACTGCTGCTGTCTCATCTCCTGGATTCATTGCTCTAGTTAATGCGTTCTGAGTCTTGTTATATCCAATTATACAATGTGGGGAATGGCTTGTTTCTCCATATGAACTTTCTCCTGTGCTGAATGCATTAGTGGAAGTGGAATTAAATGGATTTTATGTGCGGTGGCAGAATTTTTGCCTACTTGAAGCTCATCTCCAAAATTTGGAGGCCAAGGATCAACCATGTAGGATTTTCCTTTTAGAACCAGCAGGAGTCTTAATTTGAATTATGCAACAATTAATATTACAGCCGGCAAACCATAGAGTAATTATAATATTTATGGTGCACTTATATCACAATTTGAAATAATTACAGGGTACAAAAAACATTTGCGGGGATCAACATTTTTGAAATAAACTTATTGCAATAACAATAACTACTTTTTGAATCACAGGATACACAATAAAGAACCAATTTTCTTTTATTAGGAGAAGCTCATAAAAGACAAAACAAAAGGTGTTGCTAGCCTGGGGTGAATTACATGTGTCTTAAGGCCTACCACCTTATATTAATTGGATTACACCGTAATTATTATATAAATATAGTAATTGTGTAGTTGTATCATTATTCATTTAGTTCCCAATAAATCCAACATTGTTACTACTTTATTTTAAGACTTCTTGTTTTCTTCTACTCATGAGTTATACTGTGACTCTTTTATATGTGCCCCATAATTACAAAATACTTGCACTACTTGTAATTGGTGAGCTGTGATATAAAGCATTACTGTGAACTGCAGTCATAGACTACTTATAGTGGTGATTAAACTGGGATAACTAGACTTATGACTTGTGTTCTGACACACATTTATTAGGCTCTAATTGGACAGGATTTCCAGGAGCCTCTGTGAACTGTCTGCCTCAGTTCAAGGTCTTCTTCCAGTTTATGAAATTATGCTGTAACCTTTACAGCGATGAACAATTGTTCCTGTATAATGTAATAGTGCAGACACTGAACCAAAAACCCCTAAAAGCATCAGCTAACAATCCATAATGTAGCAACAAGATTGAAGAATCTGTGGAAAGTGAAGGCAGACACCTTTGGGGCTTTTAGTAATGATCATGACACACACACACACACACACACACACACACACACACACACACACACAACACACACACAGACACAGCACTTTTGTTTAGGTGTTTGAGATGGAGGATTAGCCGCTCAGGTTGACAGTTCCGCAGGCAAATACCTGACTCGTTTAAGAAGGTGCAGGGTGATTTACAAGGGAATGTGCGGCCAGTAAACGAAGCAGATGCCAGCAGCCCTCTGCAGCCGGGGCCGAGACGGAAAGTGTGTTACATATACGGAAGCATCCCACGGCGAGGACACCGGTATTTTTTTCCACTACTGCCAGGGTTATTTTAATGAGATTGGACCTTTTCTCGTGGACGGAAGAGACCATGGAGCTGGTTCCATTTCTCGTCTGGCATGCCTGGCATGCTGCAGTCAGGCACTCTGAGTATGATGGAGCAGCAGAGGCACAGATCAGATGACCTGCACTGAATAAGAGGCCTGAGTCTGAAGGATAAATACTGAATACTGATGAAGATCTGTCCTTCTCTTGCTTTTGTCTCACTATTGCTCTCTATCAAGAACCCTTTCTATTTTCTCTTCTGTGTCTCTTCTATCACTACATCTTCCTTCCCCTCATTCATCAGGTCCTGTTTCTAAATGCTTACCTCTCTTACCCTCTCTCTACCAGGCCTACCCTCTCAGCTCTCTAGCAAAGAAGCAACCAACCGTGCTGGTGATCTGTGGTCCAGATCAAAATGGCTCCATTGGCCTGGTGTGTGCCCGACACCTGCGCATATTTGTAAGTAAACTACAGTGCACGAAAACAACCTTTTCAGCAGCACAGCCCTATTATATTCAACGACAGGACAAATAATCCATTGTAAAACACAGTCTGGTGCTTACTGAGTCATTTATCACAATAGAAAAAACTATCCTGCAAACTTTAACTTGCATCAGGACTAACAGGGGATCCCCTATACAGGCCCTCTGCGCTTGACAAAATTTCATTTCAGCTCCTGTAAATGGCTCACAGCAGTTATCCTATTACCCTCCCTGCAAGGGCACTCAGACAGTCATGATATCATGCTATTGTTACTCTCGTTAAAGCTGTCTGTGTTTTACTCTCTGCAGCCACGATATGATGTCATGACCATGATGTCTGCCCCTCAGGCCACATACTGACTGACATTTCAAGACTAATTGTTTTCGGAGGCAAGATCCATCCTCTCCAAACATATCACAGATCAGGACTTGAGCTGTTTCTTTTCTGACAGCACTACTCGGTTCTGTAGTCCTAAGCAGTCTATGACTTTATTGGACGGGAAATATTGGATATGTGTTTTTGGGATCTCTGGTTTACAATGGAATGCATCTATATACTTTACCATATGCGCCTGACATGCTAGATTTACTGTGCATTGATAGTTCTGATTAAAACCATGTTAGATGGATATGAGCAACCCGGTGGCTCTCAGTGGATTCTCTCTTTCTTCCTTTGCCTGCTACTCTGTCTTTTTCCATCTTAAGGCCAAGGAAGAGGTCAGAGGTCAGCTCAGAGAGAGATATATTTTACCCTGGAACTCCAGAAATGAATAAGGAGCTTCTCCATGAAAACTTAGGACAATTACACATCAATTCCCTCTTTTAAAGCTATCATTCAAGTGCTATTTTATGTCCTTTGGCTTTTTTTAGTCTAATGTATTTACATTCTGTGTCTGTCTTTCCTGTGTATTTGTGAAACATTTTATTGCATCTTGAAATGTGCTATATAAATGAGGTTTTATTATTATTATTTTCAAAGTGACTGCACTCTAGGCCGATTGGGACCACACTTGTCTGAGTTTGCTCTAACTTGAGAAACTTGAGTACTTACTTTGGACTGTGAATCACTCTCCTAGTGTAAGAGTGTATGTTTTTCATGGTGCGATGTGATCCCTGTCAGCAGGAAGACATGCAAGGATACACGTGAGACACAGACACACACAGCCTTAAGCCCCTGATGTAGAGCTGTGAATGTGATTAGACAGAGCATACAGATGAATGATCAGCTGCAGGAAAACAGGCCAGCTTGCTTCTCACGTCAGTCCAAGTCACTCCGTGTTCACAAAAGCAGGTTGTGTCTGAGTCTGTTGTGCATCTTTGATTATTTCCGCTGCTAGGTTTTTTGGGGGGGGACACAATGCTGCATACCAGAAGACACACATATTCCTTGATCAAAGCTAATGTTGGATGAGAATAAAAAACCTAAAAAGAAAGTCCTATGCACATTAGTTCCACTGTATTGTTCATATCAAAACAAGTGGACATCACTGCGTGGAAAGTTTACATTGATGATGGTAATTACATCATAATTTGCGTGAACAAAATGCAAATATTTTTTATTGTATAATATTGTAACAAAAAATAATGTACATGTAAAGTCTCACAAACAGACTGGAGCACACAGGTATGGTGAACATGTGCAACAATTCATATTTTGTTTTCAAAATCACATGTTGTTTTTTCCATTATTGTGCTGCAGACTTCATCCCTTCATTTCTAATGCTCTGTGTATAAAAACAAAATACTTCAAAACACCAGCATCCTTCAGGGAGAGGAAGTGTAACCCTGTTAGATGTGAGCATTAACTGGAAAAAGACCCTGTGTGTACCCTTTGCTTGTTTTTGTCTCACAGCTCATTTCTGTTCATGCTCAGTGACACTGACAGTCATTTTGAGTTCTTCCTTAGTTTCACACAGTTTGATGGTGTACTTACTGATGAGGTCAAGGGCATGTAGGGGCCATTGAACCCCGAGGGGAACACACACACACGCACACACACACACACACACACAGCTGGCTCTGTGCTCTGTAGAGATCGTGATGGAGATGACGTCAGCTGATCGGTGGTTGTGGCAGTTTGATTGGTTTAAGATCCCCAAGGAGGCAGCAGTCTGCCTGACCTGACAGATCACTTCCTTTGTAGGGCAGCCTCGGCTCAGCCTCATTTGAAAGAACTGTTTATTTATTTATTGATTCCTTCATATGATGTCTGTGAAAATGGTCTTTGGTTTAAGCAGCTAAAGATTCCATTAGGATTCACTGGGCAGATGTTAAGACACAATATGCAACTTTTTTTAAATCAGAGATAAAAGACACAAATGACAACAGGAGGTATATTTATGCAGGCTTAGGTGGTAACGGATTAAATGCAAAAGAGTTAGGTAATTAGGATACAAAAAAAGTGTACAGTCATTCGTTACAGTTACAGAAGATGACAGATTACAGTTGCATTTAGTAAAAATGGGGATTATTAGCAGGATTACAATTTCACAATATACTTTGATGCACATGTGAAGTGCAGACAAATTACAACACTTCACACGTCTCACAACACCACTACAGTCACACTGTAAGCCTCAGCGCTCAATTCTGATTTATTGCTTAGATTTTTTTGTTTGGCTGCTCACATTATTTTTTGAAATGTGGTCCATATCAGATTCCAGTGTGAACAGTCCAACCCAAGGCAGTCCATTCAATAATTTTTAGGTGGCGCTAGAGTAGAATCCAATAGTTATTGAGATATTTCAATCTGGACCGATGTGGTGGAATGACCTTGAAACAGAATAACATAGCCACATGCTGCTAGCATGGCTAAAAACTGCGACAACAATTCAATAGCAATGTGTCTGTCCAAAATCAATGACCCAGTTACTCTGCAAAGACATCACTGTCAACAGTTTTCACTGGACCTACTGCCTACCAAAGAAATAGTCCTAATGAAATCGGTTGACAGTGTGTTCTGTGGATTATCCAGACTGATGGCTCATTGCTCTGGACAGATCTTTAAATGCAGTTTTTTTATGCTGTGCAGCACTACAAACAACATTCCTTTTTACCTCCATTGTATTATAATGGATGGAGGGATTTCTCAAACCCTGGGCAAGTAAAACAAAACATGGCTTACTACCTTTAGGTGTAAGCGAGAAAAACATTTGGGTGAACTGATCCTTTAATGGTAATTATGTAGATACTTATCCAGGACTATGTTTTTGAAAGAAAGATGTGCTTTTTACATCAAACACTCAAATACACACACACATGCACACACACACAAACTAACACCCACTCTCATATTACTGACAGTGGTTCCTAGGCTTTAAGATTTATCTTTGGGACTTTGTAAAGGTCATGGATCACAGGTGCTTCCTGCTGAGCATCACAGGCCTTTCATACTGTGGGTGTCTGGATTTCTACTCCTCTCAGCTTCCAGTTTATAAGGGAAGTATTCATTCAGGAAGCAGGCCATAGGAAACCAAAACCTCTGATCACTGGTCACCAGTATTTTCCCTTGTCGTGAACTGAAGGCCACTGGTGCATCATATGTTGGCTAAAATCACAGGCTTTAGTGTCAATATTATGTAACCTTCTCTCTGTTCTTGTGTTTTTCTCTCTTGCCTCATCCTCCTCTCACACAGGAATATGAGCCCACAATCTACCACCCTAAACGCTCCTCTCAAAGTCTACACCAGGACTTCACAGTTCAGTGTGAGAAGATGGACATCCCTTTCCTCTCCTACCTCCCCACAGAGGTCAGCATCATTTTACAGAATAACACATGTTACAAGAGCCTTTAGTGGTGTTATTGATTGTTATAAAGTCTGATTGAAAGATTAAAATCCATCATTTAATTTAAAGTATGCACTGTGGTTTAATTTGTAACAGTGAAAATTGCTTTGCTTAATAGAGTAGTGCAACATTTGGGGAAATGTGCTTATTTGCTTTCTTTCTTGTCAAAAGTAATTTGATAGCTAATAGTCGGTTAACTTAGCTTAACACAAATACTGGAAAAAGGGGGAAACAATCAACCTTGCTCTGTCTAAAGGTAACAAATCCATCAACCAGCACGTTTAAAGCTCACAAATTAACATGTCATGTCAATTGTTTAATCTACACAATAAACAACATTACAAACTACAAACTACTACTACAAACATTAAAAAAACAAAATCAGCTGTATTAAGGGAATGTGTCGCACTATTTCTTGAATGGGACCACTAACGTCTGGCTTGTGACCCTATATCACCGCTCAACAGATTGTCTGAGTTGCTCCACTATGCTGTTATTCATCTGGCAACCACTCAAATTCATCTTGTGAACCACTGATTTCGGTGACTCACGTACAGGAAGTTAACCCTTCATTCATTCATGCTGAGGTCTGCTCTGTTTAGGTCCAGCTCATAAACGATGCCTACAATCTAGTGATTGATGCCATGCTGGGCCCAGAAGCAGATTGTGCCAACATTAAGGAGCCCTACTCTGGTATTCTGGTGACCCTGAAGCAAATCAAGACCCCCATTGTCAGTGTGGATGTGCCCTCAGGTAAGTGTTCATACAAACTGTAGATATCAAGCTGGAGGCTCAGAAAGACAACATGATAGATGGGCCTCCAGGCAGCTCCCGAGGAGCCTTGGCTCCCAGGCAGGAGTTTTCCAAGTCTGGAGGCACACGTGGATGATAAATCTCATGCTACAGTCAGTTTAGTGTGAGCTTATCTAGCCCCAAATACATTACCTGTTGAGTGTGAGCACAACAGGCAAAATGATCACAATCCTCCTCTCCTTATGTCTTTTTTTTTCTCTCCCTCCTTTCTGTTTTCCTCAGGTTGGGATGTAGAAGAACCGAGTCAGGACGGGATTAATCCAGATGTTCTCATCTCACTTACAGCACCAAAGAAGTGTGCCATGAGTTTCTCGGGGAAGCATTTCTTGGCCGGACGCTTCCTGCCCTATGACATACAGAAAAAATACGAGCTTAACCTCCCAGACTACCCTGGCACAGACTGTCTCATAGAATTGTAACACATGGGAAACATGAAAGCCAGTGTGGCCACTTCTAATTTTCAAAAACGTACGGTTAACCTATTCTCTTGTTTTTTATTTTATAGATTGTTAATGTGATTTAATGTTAACATCTCAGTTGTGTAGATCAGGCTACACCTTAGCCAAATGTGCTGTTGAGCTACAGTAGAAGGATAATATTTAGAAACTGTGGTTTGAATCATGTCTTTTTAGGTAATGGCATGAGGAGTTTTTGTGTCAGTCTACTTGTAAAAGCTGTAGCATTACACTGTTTTCTGATTACTTTGCAAAAGACAGAAATGTCTTTTTCCACAGTTGGCAAAGAAAGATGAATCTATGACACCAACCACTGGAATGTTTTTTTTAAGGTTCATTATGTTCATGTTCTGATGCTCTTTTCTTCTTCTGTTCTACTGGAGTGTGCTGCTGCGATAACTTAGTGTAGGTTGGCAACTTTGAATTTTCTGTTGTGTTTTTGGTTTGTCAGCCTGCACTTCTGCATTGGTTTTATTTCAATTTCTTTATTAGCTGTTACAAAAGGCCAAGACAGTTCTCGTTGTCCAATAAAACAGTTCCTTTTAACTGATGGTTCAGTTTCTCGTGTTTTGTTTTCTTAAAGCTGCAACGATCAGTATACTTTATATTAATAATGACTAATATGACTATAGTTGTCATAGTGACAGACGCACCAATCATTACAGACTAACTCTGCAGTTGCCATAGAGGCTTTAAGCCTATTTTGGATCACTATTTTGGTTGAAAAGATGTTGTCCACATTATTACAACACCACACAGCAACTCTGCTTTCATCAGCCATGTGTGCAGCCACATCAGACATTTGTTTTCAGTATAAAAGATCAGATAACCCACTTTACGCTACCTGCTCAGCAATTAACAGTATACAGACAAGGTTAGCGGGTAGCTGGTGAACGTGGAGCATTTAGCAGCTAAAATACCAAATATTTTTCTCAGGTGTTGGTGGAGAAAGAACTTACATTCATAAAATACTGGCTATAATGGACACTTTTATAATAATGTATAAGATGATAATGTGACAATGTGAATTGGGTTATAACTCAAATCTACAGCTCCCCTCAGCTGTCTGGCCCACAACTTTACTGTTTGGGTTCACTCTTATTGCTCACATGGCGTCATTTTCCGGCAGATGTTTTCAGTAAAAAAAGCTCTAAAACCCCACTGTATACTACCTGCCCAGCAACAAACAGCAGACACACACAGATAAACTGGTGAACATAATGGAGCATTTAGCAGCCAAATATTTCCCTCAGGAGTAGAAAAGATTTGAGAATATTGCCCTTACATTAATCAGGTGACCAGAATCATGATTCCAAATTAATGCTAATGTTTCTTTGTGTCTCTTGGATGTGTAGATAGATAAAGTGTCTTGCTTAGGGACACTTAAGCAGGCTAGCATCCCTTGAAGTCATTCTGTTAAATGACACCAATCAATTAAAGGTCACCAATCACAAAACCACATAGCTGTGTTATATGAACATCACATGCAATTAGTGCTGTGCTTCTTAGATGAGGGCACACTGTTACATCTGTTTATTGGTTCCCAACTGGATTTGATTTGCTAATGAAAGCCATAAGCAGGTGTGATCGGGCTATAATCAGCTGTAGAGAAGGGCCTCTCATTATTGAGCTCAGGGCTGCGGGCTTCAATGAGAATGACTAAGCGAGACTCCTGTGCTGTTTATGGATGAGGTAATGTGTATTTATACAAAGCACAGGAGCTTCTCCTGAATACTAACGCACTAATGCCCAGTGTGTGCACATGTGTGAGTGGGTGTGGAAAGTCAGTGAAAAGGAATGTCGATCCGTTTTTCGCTCTGTGGTATTAAATCTGTCAGAGGCGAACTGACGAGGGTTGTAGAAATATGTCTGAGAGCTCAGTGGTCCTGTCTTTCATGCCTGTCCAACCCCCATCAGGAAACAACGACTTGTCACCACTCTGTCGTTTGTGCTTTTCATGGGAGTGATTGAGTAATGAGCTTTGGAGTTGCCGGTGGCCCGTAGAATTGAACAATCATAACTGACAGCGGCACTTGTTGTAATATCCATTGAGAGATAGTCTTACATGAAGAAGAAATGCGGTCAGGAGATTTAGTGGAGACAGTAACAGAGTGCAGGAGTGAGGCAGAAAGATTAATCTAGTTCTTGCACCGTATAACACACAAAATCTCAAATTTTAACAGTTTACAGAACCATGTCTAAAAGTGTTTCCCTTCTTTTTCACTGTGATAAGTATGTTAAAATCACTGTATGTTTTATATTTGAAAACATGTTTCGTCAACCAATAGTTTAAGTTATCTAAACACTATTTTAAAGCATTGTATTATTACTGGACAAGTTGAGTTTTCGCAATGGCCAGCCTGTGGGCTAGTTTTCAGGTGTCCTTTAAAAAATGGTATGTAGGCACGTATGGATTGGTTTATTATTTATATCAGATAAATGTAGTGTATTAGAAGTAAATGTACCTAAATATTTAAGTACAGTACTTTAGTAAGTGAATTTAGTTACCTTTTCCACTGAATTGTGAAAACGTTCTCAGGGATTAAACAATAAAATCCTGGACTTTCCATTTCCATCCTTGTCCCACCAACCGTTATCAAGATTGAGAGAGGCATTCAGTGTGTGGCTTATGTAATAATGTGAACAACATCTTTTCAAGAGGTGCATTTATTCTGAAAAGAAATTCTTTCAAAAGTTGTTGTTTAACACTTTTTTATGTTCAAACAAGAGGGATTTGTAAAAGTGAATGTACGTAACGTTTTTTAATTTCCATGGATTTTTTGTTATACAAGCGTTGTTGCTCAATTGCAACAATTCATAGGCTGCAAATGAGCCAGAGTACATTACACCTCATAAGCATGTCTTGTGTCTGCGTTCTGAGGAGTTTTTCCTGAATGGCATGCCATATGACGCCACTTCCACTCTTTGGCAGTGCATCGCCCTGCAATCAGCGACTGTTAAAAAGTTACAAAACTGAACCAGAAGTCGAACCAGAGGCAGAGCAGCATCTGGCACTGTCCTGTGTCTGGTGGAGAGACAGATAAAAAAGAGTGAGACAGAGAAAGACAGACGGGTGGCCAATGAAGGACATGAAATCTTATAGAAGATGATTAGAGCTTCTTACCTTCACAGTTAACAAAGCCCTAAGTTGATTTATCATGAATGACACAAAAATCAACAATGTTTCAAACCACTTTTCTATATTTTGAATGTAAAAAACCCCCACAGCAAATAGATAAAATATATTACGAAATAAAACTATATTATGTTTCTGAAGCATCCAGAAGTACTGTATGCTCTTTTGTACTTGCACAGACACACCTGCTGTGCATAGAAGGCAACTACACTGCAAAAGAGGTTTACAAATCAAAGAAATATGAAAATGTTTTTAAAGTCCAAACTTATAAGCTCTCGCCTGGACAAACAGGAAAACACCATTTTATTTTCAGCAACCCACACACACACACACACTCCCTCCCTCCCTCCTTCTCTGTGAGTGTGTCCACCATACCCTCACCTTTTTTTGGAAGATGATATGGGGGACCCAGATGTTACATTTCACTGGCCAATAGTGAGCAGAGAGGGGCTGGATTGGTGTGCACTCCCGATGCCCCCTTCTTTTAAAAACCCCTGAGCTCCTGTCTCCAACTCAGCAACTCAACTCACATGAGAAAGAGCAGCAGCAAGGCTCTGCTTGACCGGCAACATCATTCACACCTGACAAGCTGAAGCGGCTACTCTCAGCTGTATCTGCAAGCTGTCCATTTTCTTCTTAAATTTATGTCTGTAGAGGATCAGAGTAAAAAAAAATCGTCTGTAACTGAAGGTGTGTTACCATGTTGGAATTAAATAAGATGGCAATCCTGCTGTCTTTCCTGGCTTCACTGGCTTTGAGCCAAGGTAAGTGAAGACTGAAAATTAAACAATTATTATTGCTTTTTTCCAAAAATGGATGCCAGCACAACAGTAAATTACTGTTCCAGCGAAATGCCACAGCCAATTTTAAGATACATTTTGTTTTGAGCAGAATTCTTTACCTCCTTTGTCATCTTTAGTAATCACATACTGTAAGAGCAGAGGTCCAGTGTATGACTACTCACACATGTGTTTTCTACGTTGACGGCATTTCCCTGAGGATGTCAGAGCAGGACTCTGGTGAAATGTCCGATGGTGAGCTCATATGATAAGGGTGTGTGTGTGTTTGTGTGTGGGTATGTTATTTTATAGACCACCTCAGTAGTTCTTAATCTCTAATATTAAGTCACCAGCACGTTTCACCACCAGGCTGATCAACAACACATGGTGATAGAAGAGGAGGTAAAGAGGAGGAGGAGAATGTCACAACAGTGAAAACTATTCATTATGTGCCCCAGCGGTCCTGTTTAATTATAGAAAAAGCTCTGTTAATGACAGTAAAAGGTAAAAGGTTCTTGTGGCACATAGCTTTTATTCATAATGACAAACTGCAGCACAGTAGCTGCCACTATCTGGAAGCAGGAGGCCTGCTGTTGAGATAAATTCAAGGCAGCCATATTGCTCCACTGACTTTTATGATCTCACAAAGAGCCAATTCAAATGCATTTTTTTCTTACTACTTTCTCAATTCAGTTCAATGTTTTCAATGTGGTGGACTGTCAGCGACTTATGATGCTCTTCCTTTCCCAGATTTTAAGTTCTTTCCCCCAGAATATCACTCTTATCATCTTTGAAAGCTCACCACTCTTCCTGAATGACACCAAAGTCAGCACTTTTTCCAAAGCTGTCACTTTCTGTCCACCTTACAGCTGCTGCCCATTAAAGAGAGCTGGCAGTTCATAAAAGCAAACGACTGTAAATACACCTTAATAGTCTCCATATCTTGTTGGACTTGGAGGCGTTAGAGTCGTAAACGTCTTGCGGAGGCTCTGTGCCACTTGCTGATGAGTATATCGAAGATGGTTTGGTGAGAGAAGAAGCTAAATGTAATAAATGGCGATTCAGATCGACTCTCACTGAGCTGAACATTTTGTTACAGCCGCAAGTGAATGCCGACTTTAAAATGGATTGTAAAATTTTATATTCTGTGCCACGCTCCTTTAGCAGTACATCCACATGTTGCAGGAAGGTGGTGCATTTTGTCCTCATTTCACCCTCAAATGCAGTACCAGTGGTCCCTAAAGATATAAACCCAGTCACCTTGGAAACAAGAAGCAATAAATACAAACCAAGTGGCCCATTTTCCCACCTGGTGGGTTTGTGCTGGGCTAAATGAGAGAATGGAATAAAAAGGGGAATAAAAAGCACAGGTAAAATGACTTTAACGTCCTCTTTTCCCCTGTCAAATTGGCCGGCATGTCACTCTTTCCTTTTAGCTTTTTGATGGTCGTGTCAGCCCCCCTCGCTGTGTTCAGTCCAACACTAAAGTAACAACTGTATGACTCCATTTGTACATTTGTCTTTGCCTTTTTTTATGTGTCTTCTTCAGGTATTCTTTATACTTTCCCCACCTTTCTCCCATCTGTCTTTCCCTCACTCCATCACACTCCCTCCTTCGCCTTTCTCCACCTATTTCTCTGCACCCTACTCCATCAAACGCTCTCTCCTTGCCTTGTTCTCTGTCACTCTCTCCATACACCTTAGAGCTTACAAATTTATGAGCTGTTTTCCTATTTGAAGGCGGCAGCTGTTGCTGAATGCCCACTGTAACTCAGAGGGCAACAGTGTGGTGTTACCACCTCTTAGCATAGTCTAGCTTTCAGCTCCGAGGCTTTTTTAACTACTGTTAAATGCACCAGAGGACCTCCAGTCCTCTTCTTTCTTGTCTTGTTGCATAATTGTCAGGCAAAGCTAGATGGTGTGTGTGTGAGATCAACTGGAAGGCCATTGTGAGTAAGAGACACAGAGGCTAGTTCTCCAGATGTTGACCACAGTCTGGTCCAAACACAGAGCTGTCTGGCCAGCTGACTCTAATGACTGAGACTGAGCCTAGGACTACAATGGATCAAAGTAAAAGGCGCAAATTCCCATTAATGACAACCTCCAAGCCATATCACATCTTTCTTTTATTTTCTTCTGTGCATTTATGTGTACATGCATAATGTGGATGCATCAAGATATTATTTATTGCAGGACTAATCAGCTGTTTTCAATTGAGACATTTCCAGCTCCTGGCTCTGTACCTGTGCACAGGTGCAGAAGTTCATGTCAGGACTTCCAGATATTTTTAATGCTGAAATTGAACGCTGCCCAATTGTGTTTTTAATAGTATCAGGGAGAAAATACCTGAGAGCACAAAGCCTTTGTTATGTCTTTGTAAATCCTTAAATCATGTGGTTGATGTGCATCATTAGTTAATGTCAGGGGCAAAATTGCAGATTTTAATGAGCAACAGATGTTTTAGGAATCAGACTTGAATCAGATGTTTGAAAATAAGGAACATTGAGGTAACGAGAGAGATAGATGCAGAGAGAAAAAGCAGACTCCTCTGCAACCACACACACCTCAGCCACGAAGCTGGCCAAACACATAAACAGCTTCCATATGACATGGCAAACAGATCATTACATACACAGGCCCACACACACACACCCACACACATCACCAAATTCATACATGAAATACCTCTAATTCAAACAGGACTTAATCGACAAATACTGTACAACCTTATTTTCTTTGTGAGCTTAAGTTTGTCCACTAGGTTACATAATGTGGAGAGGGTGGGTGGTGTTTTCACGTCTTCTATATATATTAGAAAACAAGATCCAGACCTTCTATTTAAGCCCCGTCTCTCTGCCAATGTACATCTGGCACAGCCATAATCTGACTCAAACCGTTGCCTAGGTGCAACTTCATAAAATCCTGCATTTTCCCCGCTCTTTCTCTCTTCAGCAGCTTTTTTATTAGATTCTGGCTAAGGCAAAAAACTCCCACTCAGAAAGTGAAGCGGAGAGAGGCTGTCCTTTGCGAAGCCACTGGTGATTATTAATAGAGGATATGCCCCTTTGTGTAGCCTGGCCGTAAGTAGAAGAGCTATAAGTACAGCAGCTGTATTTCAGAACAAACCACTGTGACGTAAATCGTTAAATCCAAACATAGTCCTCTAAAATAAGAATTGCAGTTGTCACAACAGATTCAGAGGGGGTGAAGATGACAAAGACTGCATTGTGGGATAAAAAGTAAGCCAGTAGCTTTGTTTCAGATATGTTACTGACATAGTGTGGCATTCAGGTGCTTGGAGTGTGGCTATATGTGGAAGCAAGCTGCTAACTAGTCCACAGATGAAGGTCTCCTCTAATATATATTGGTGCCATTAAAATGTATCTTGTTACCTTGTCCATGGTTTATGAGGGTCACGGTGAGGCCGGCTGAGGTTTATAATAACAGTCACATGGCGGGGTTCATGTCAAAGGTGAAACTGCAAGAGAAAAGTGATACATCCTTATATGAATCCCATTACATTAGCTGCAAATAGACACAATCTAGAAAAAAAGAAGAAATTTGTGTGAGCAATGCACAAAACAAACCAAACCAAAGGAGGTAATTTCAGCAAGTGCCCCAAAATCTGTTTTCAAGTGACAAAGCCCTCTAGCGACCGTTATGACAAGAGCAAAGGAGGAAGTCAGGCAACATTAATATCAAGTGTGAATCTACCATGACTTATTATAGTATAACAGATTAACAGTACACTCAAATATGTTTCTGTAACATAATCCTGATTCATATTTTATCAGCACTGCCTAGTTTGACAGTTGGATCTGAGTTTGGTGAGTTCGGTGCATTGTGCTGGATGGACTCACCGAGAACCCAAAGTCACGCTGTGGTAGCGTCAATCACAAAATAGCCACACCCTAAAGCATAGCCTGCTTTATCGTCTATTTTGCGCTAAATGCAACCATAATTTATAAAATGTTCCTTCCAAAACTGTTACAAATCTCTGCAAGAAAATAAATATGTTTTATGATGTGACAACGCTGTGGTTAAGTACTCAATTGAGCCAAACAATGATGAATGATCTTTCATTAAAGTTAACCAAGTCATTTTTGTGCCTAACCAAACCTTAACCATAGGGTGGTCACATCATACAACAGACAAACGATGTCGAACACGCCTCCATGGCATATTTTGTTTAATTTAATTTGGATGACTCTATTACTGACGAGATCTGTGTCAGCAAAGCACAAACCTAAATCCACACAGAGCACATGAACAAGGACAAACAGCATATACTGTACCAGCGGAGCACTTTAGGCTTTTTTTTTTTTTAGCAACGAAGAGGAAATCATAAGTTCTAAACTTGATCCCTCTGGCTTAAAAAATGTGTTACTTGCTTCTTGATGAGGCAAAGTCCCTCACATACCAGCTGTATGAAGCAATAAAATCTCCCGGCTTTTAAAATTCATAGTGTTAACATGCCACTCAAAACACAATAAGCTTTCTGAGTCTTCCACGGGAACCAGGCCAGTTCATACCTACTATAACTGAGGTCACTACCCCAACATTTGCCTTCTACTGAAGCTAATCTGGGTTTCCTCTTTTAACTTTCTAAAACCATTAGGCACCTCATAAAACTCTTAAGAATCGTTTGCTGTTTCTCTTTCATTATCACACATCTTGAAATGATAATCAGGAGCCAAATGGTTCTGCTGTGAATTCCCTTTGTTTTGGTGTAAGCAAGGAAGAACTGTTATGTAACCAGAGCAGGAAATGTGCATTGTAATTTCTTGGAAATAAATGGATGCAATTGAAGTCAGTGTTAATTAAGAGAAACAAAAGGGTTGTTTGTGTCCCCACACCATATGCGTTTCCCTTTTAAAAGTGTTTAAAGTTCTCAGAGTGAACATAAGATTAAAAACACACATTGTAAAGTCTGTGATTTACTGACATGCTCTGTCCAGTGGCAGAAAAACTGTATTTTAATTGTTTTTATAATGTAATTAGGAATGACACACAATGCAGCAGACAAAAGGAGAAGGGTGGAAAAACTATTTGATTTGATTTACTAAACCAAACCTGCAAGCAGACCCACATCTGCTCCACAGATCAGTGTGAAAGCATTTGCTCCTGTTTATCCAGTGACTCCAGAGTATCAGAGAGACAAAGCTGATATGAAAGCCTATCAATGGTTTTTAAAGCCAGGGGCATAAAAAACAACAACCACAAAGGTCAGCCGACTGCCTATGTTACCCTAAAACTTATGTAATACATTTCAGGACAGTCAATCTTTGTCCTGTTAAGCTACAGTCCTTCTTTGCTAAATCTATCAAAAAACATTAAGGATTGAAAAGAAATGTGCTGGCATGACAATAAAGACTTGATGTGAGCCATAAAACCAGTGAGGACTGGGATCGATACTGGCCTCTGTGCTGGGAGTCTCTGCTCGTAAACTCAGCTGTGTCTCTCCGAAAGTGCTAAGTGCTTGCACATATTACACACACACACACAGTGAGGTTGCATAAGCTACTTTTTGTTTCTGTCACGGACCATAACATTAATTTTTTCCCCACAGCCCAAGTTAAAGTTGGAGATGAAATGTCAAGAAAACAACTGACGTTATTGAAAACATAAAAAACGAGTTCTGTAGCAAAATAAATCCTTATACTAAACATGGTGCATGTTCAATAGATCAAAGAGCCAAATTTACAATTACTGTCTGAATGTCTTTCTCCTTCTAGTAAGGCAACATTTGCCTCACTGTTGTGTATGCACGTGCATTAAAAATGATATTGATGTAAGAATGACTCTGAGGCTTATGTATGTGTGGACATTATAATCATATATCATTAGGATCAAGAAAAAAATCGGCAACAAAATTCTGCCTAACAATATATGAGTGTGAGCTCTGTGAGAGGTGATGGAGAAAGTAAAAGTGAAGTTTTCTGGCTCGGCCGCTGGTTAACAGATGACTCCGCACTGATTTGTCTCAGCTGGAGCTTGATTAGCATCCTCAACAGCGGCTGCTTGTTGATGGATCAAGAGGAGAAGGATAGGACTTTGGGGAGGACAAGTAAAGAGGGGGACAATAAGCTTAATGATGAAAAGACATGACAAAGAGCATGGAAACAGGACAGAAGGCCTGTGGCTAAAATAGACAAAGCCTTCGTGCCTTGAAGAAAGACCAAAATATGCTCCGACTGTATCAATTTGTGTGTGTGCATACAAATAATTCACAGTAAAAGATATTTTTAGCTTGATTGACATTATTTTGTTTCCCTTTTTTCCAATTTCTAATCTTTCTTTCCAATTATAATGACAGCCTCATGTATTACATTATATCTGTTAACTCTAAAGTTAGGCTTATGAGGGAATACGGAGAGAAATGCAAGCATTTAAGGATATAAGCTTGTTGTTTTATATCCAAATGTGTTTCTCCCTGTTTGCAGGATCTGTGAGGACCAGGAGTCAGTCAGACAGGAGCAGGAGAGGGGCCCTCAACACATTCACTGACACACAGACAACAGGTACTCAATCAATCAACGGTGATATTCAGAGCTGATTGTATAGCGGGGGTTTTCAAACTGTGTTGAAGGGGAATGGTGTATACTAGTCTTCTTAAAACAACAGGAAGTTAGTTATTGTCCCACTTATCAGCAGTTAGAGCTACAGCAGCAGCTGTGACTCACAGCTCAAGAAGGCAGCTCACTTAGGGTCCAATTGCCACAATTTGCAATCAAAAATCACACTCTTTGTCAGAGTCATAACTCAGTCAAATGTAAACACACAGACAAGATAGACATATTTTTAGATTCAGCGTGACTGACACTTTCCTGGCGATGTCAATCGTGAATAAAAGTGCATACATCTGCTTAGAATCATAGAAAAACCATACTCCTTATAACTCTACCACCACCACCTCTGCCAGGGTTTTCAGAGTCAGACATTGAAAACCCTTGACCCATAGATTACTCTACCGGATCTCTCATGTACACAGTGGTCCACTTATGTAGTATATGATCATATAAATAAAAGACCTAAGACCTTTTTGTACCAGAGACACAAGGCTGAGGTGCTCTTTTTTGTTGAGATTTGGATTTTATTTGACTGTATCACCAGGCTAGATAGCAGTAACATTTTATCTAGCTCTGAAGATTTCTTCTGTCTGGCTGTAATGCAACAGCCACAAAGAGTGTGAAGGTGTCAACTTGGGTTTGAAAAGTTAAGATTTGATGACTTAACATCTATTTTAATTGAACAAAACAGCACTAGTATTAGTCTGTATGTATATATATGTATATTGTTGTCTGGAGCACATGTCCCTCCCATCACCTCAGTGCAGCCTGCAGTTCACCTAAGAACTGTATTTATTACAGCAATGCATTCCTTTGTGAATGAAAGATATAATCAGTTTGTTGCTACTTCTTTCTTTTGTTTTTAATCCGGTATTTTTCTCATGCTCAGGTTTCAGAACATGCAGGAGACAAAAAAAATAGACAATATGCCTCATCAGTAAAACCTGGGGGCTTGGAAAGAATGCAAAGCTCCCCAGGGTGTATGAAGTCAGTTTCAAATTGCGGTAGCAGACCTCCTCTTAAAGTTTGTAACTCTTCCCTGCTGATTTCCTCCTTCTTACTTTTTCTTGATTCTGACCCATGTCTCTTCTCCATGTAAGACCAGCCCATCCCTCAACCCGCCTCACTTATTTCTCAATCCTGAGCTGAATTGTTTTCTTTATTTTTGACTTTTTTTCCATTGTTACCCTCTATTCTATTCATCCATGTCTCCCCTCCTGTGCCTTCAGGCGTGACAGAGTGGACGTCTTGGTTCAACATCGACCATCCTGGAGGGAATGGAGATTATGAGCGCCTGGAAGCGATCCGTTTCTATTACAGGGAGAGAGTTTGTGCGCGGCCCATGGCAATGGAGGCTCGCACTACAGACTGGGTGGCAGCAGCAGACACTGGGGAAGTGGTCCACTCCAGTCTGGAGAAGGGCTTCTGGTGCATAAACAAGGAACAGCCCCAAGGCCGCATCTGCTCCAACTACCATGTCCGCTTTCAGTGTCCCCCAGGTAGCTCTGATGACAACAGCTCAGGGCTGTACAAGCTGTCACTTTCTTAACATTATTATTAACATTCAGCCATGCATACATGTGGCACTGGCTACAGGGAGGAATCACCCATTGTAAATGCTCTTAGCTGTTTGAGTCTGCCATGTTAAATAATGTCTTTGTTATATTATCTTCCTGCTTGTCAACTGCAGGACACAATGCCAGCTTTGCTAAGAATCTGTCACAATCTGTTCTTCAATGTGTGTCTTTAGTGCAGAGCTACTGGACTGACTGGAGTGAGTGGGGTTCCTGTTCAACCACAGTTTGTAATGACGTCGGCATCCAGGTCCGTCAGAGGGAATGTGTGAACACTCAGCCCATGCCTCTCCTGTTGGTGCCCGCTTGCCAGGGTCACCATTCAGAAAGGAGGGAGTGCTCCACTCCTCCGTGTACAGGTGAGAATCAGAAAATTAAATTTAGGCAAACTTTTAGAGCAGAATGCATGGAAGTGCACCAACATTGTTTCACAGCAATCACACTGACAAAGTTACCTGCAGACATTTTTGTTTATTGGCCTTGTGAGTGTGGGCATCAGCGGATGTCAATTAATCAATCAGTCACTATTCAGTACATGTTTGAACAAATCAAACACCAAATCTTCAAAGCGAACTGACTATACTGAATCAGCATTGTCACTTCCCAAATCAGTTGCTTTCAGCAGTGTAACTCCTCACAAGTTACTGGAAGCATTGTCGCTCAGCTGTGATTCACATAGGCTACCTCCTATGAAAGTGAAACAAAAGTGATAACTCAACAACTAGTAGGTGGGTAATAGTGGGCTGCTGAGCTACTAACGTTACAACAGTGCTTGTACAGCCAACATAACAGCTTGGACCAGCAATAGGCTAGAAGTGCTACCGAACAGAGGACATCAGAATCAACGAGTAACTACAAATCACTGAATTGAACCATCCCTGCCCTGCTCTGTACTGTACTTGACCCTAACTTTTGATTTCCATTGTGGATTGAGTTAATATGGAGGTAAAATAAAAAGCCCATTTCTGCTATGTGGTTTGAGGCAGCACCCTTCAACACAGAACTTCTGCTATACAGAACTTCGTAACCATTAGTATTAGAAGTGTTTTTGATTGAGCTACTTGCAATCAGTAATCTTTCAATTGCAGCTATTTAATCAGCTTTGTTATAATTTTTATGCCCACAGTACTGTATAATTGCATACACAGGGGGCACAAGAGAGTTAACAACTCTCATTAGACCTCTATGTATAAAGTTTGAATCTTTTAATGAATTAATGAAGAGACTGATCACAGATTTAACATAAAATACTAATGTGGATTACTTATTCAACTGCAAAATCACATCATTCCTGTCTCTCTGTGCGATCAGCCAAGTGGAGACCATGGGGTCGGTGGGGGACGTGTTCAGTGACCTGCGGGGGAGGTCGGAGGATTAGGAGGAGGACCTGCGTGAGGTCCTCTGAGACAGTTCAGTGTACTGGACGGCCTGTTGAAATACAGAAGTGTGGGAAGAGTCCATGCCCAGGTATGCTGAATCTACACAGTAAAAGTCATAATATGTTGTCTTTATCAGTCTGTGCTCACGTCTCTGGGTCTTTCTCCCGACAGCCAAATGTCAGCGAGTGTGCACAGAGGGTCGTCCCAGTGAGGACTGCAGCCGGTGTGTGTGCGATAGCCATGTGCTGCACGGAGAAGTCCACAGTGTGACTGGTGTCCCTGTGGCAGGAGCCTGGGTGGCACTGGCTAGTCAGCCCAAGGTGATCCGTGCACGTACAGATGCCAATGGTCAGTTCAGGCTCACCGGAGTCTGCTCCTCCAGCTCGATTTTGATCTCCATCAGGAAAGAGAAGTTTGCCCCGATCACTGTCTCTACCTCCAGTAACACCACAGGGTTGTCCTGGGTACGGGCTGTCCTCAAATCAGCTGGTGAGTGCTAATAATAAAAAATATTGTTGATATATATTGGTATTAATTGAAGATATTGTAAATATATTATATCTAAATATCTTCAAATAATATCATCAATGCATATAAAAAGAAGCTACTGTAAATATCTTTAATTAATCATCATAAATTATCATCATAAATTAATTATCATAGTCAGGCCTGTTGTAGGACTTCACATTGTCTGGAACCCTTACTTACTTGGTTGCATAGAGACCAAACAAAAATAGGCCTGTGCAGATTTTGAAAAAGTAATTCCCACAAAAATCGTTTTTCATAAGCAATGTGAGAAAAAAGTGAAATGTTTGATTGAGTTTTATGAGATCTCAAAACTCTGCGGTACCATTCACATTATCAGCGTTAAGTCTTGAGGGTTTGCACCTCTCTGCTTTCCACAGAAAAGCCATACATTGTGAAGCACCCAGAGGACAAAGTGCGTTATGAGGGAGGACGGGTGCTGTTGTGCTGCAAAGCAACAGGATCACCAGCGCCTGACAAATACTACTGGTGAGAGGAATACTAGCGCTGGCATTTTAATAATCACATTATAACACAGACTGACTACTTTATATTTAGGAGGTCCCTACAAATTTAATTTTAGTTACGTTTTAATAAAATAATAGTTCCCTTTCTTTTCTTAACTTTGTAACTATATTTTAAGGTACCACAACGGGACTCTGCTGGACAGAAAGGTGTACAAGTATGAAGAGGACCTTGTACTGCGAGACCTGAAGCTGGAGCAGTCAGGGCAGTACTACTGCAAAACCAGCAGCCCTGCAGGCACCATCAAGTCCTCTGCATCCTTCCTCACAGTGATTGGTATGTTGGTCTCGGATCTCTTACTGACAGCTATCTCAACATCAGTGTAGTTCTTAAGATGTTCGTTCATTTGCATAATCCCAGTTACACAGTTACAGATGCTGTAGGACAGTATTTACAACATTAATCTGCTGGTGCAATGGCAGCTTTTATGACTTTTATAACTAGTGAACTGTTAAACGCTCAAAAGTGGTGGAGAAATAAAGAATAAAAATCCTGTTCTATTTGGTTTCTCACAGTCAAAAAGACACAAAAAACTCCTTGCTATTTAATGGCACAGTGAACTGTAATTCATCATCATCAGCCCGGAGAGAAAATAACTTACTATGATGATAGCAAGCGGCACAAAGGGATTATAGCTCAGGATGGCTGCTATCCCAGTGCATTTGACAATGACGTATTTAGTCAAAGTTCTGCACAGGTTCAACTAAAACCACTGACAAAAAGCAAACAACCGCAATTCATTTCACTGTATAAAGAGCAGCTGCCTCTGAGATTGAATACACACTTTAAGAGTAATGTCAGCGCTAAGCTCCAACCAAGTCATCCCTGAGCCATGTCCATGCATTAAGAGGATTCAAACAAAACCACAGTGTCCTACAACTGAGGCGGAGAGAAAAGTCAGTTAACAGACTATTTGTCACTGGAAAAAACATTACATACAAGGAAAATAAAAATATCAGGGCTCACACAATCTGGCTGCGCTTGAAGCAGTATGTTTTTATTATGTTTACATTGGTTGATGCTAGGGATTTTTAAACTGGCATTCTTTATTGTGCAAGATGGCTTGGGATACTAAAACCTCAAACCCAATTTCTCCAGAACAGCCAGTTTTGAGCTAAAACCCAGGATTCTTTTCTCTCTCAGAGTCAGACGAGTATGCGTTTCCACATCAGTGTGGGAGAACTACACATTGCTTTCATCCTTCAGGTGCTTGTTAGCAAAGACACAGATTAGCAAACTGAGTTTTCATGGAAGAGTGCTAAAGCAATCTATCCCAGGCCACAGACAAATCTCTGCACTCCAAAAGTAATTATGGCAGGAGACACTGTATGTGTGCAGGACAACACTTGCGCTTCAGAGCAGGATATAAAAAAATGCCTTGGTCCTTCAACAGTTTCTTCTCGCATTTTACATAATGCAGAAGTTTAATTTGAATTCCCATTAAATGTGTTAGAATGCGGATTCTACACAGGTGTAGAAGTTACATCATATTTTTTTATCAAAGAAAAACTCAAAGCCCTGTTGGTAAAGCCATCAGTAGTACAGTAATGATATTTCATACGCATCGCACTGCTCCATGTGTCTGCAATTATCGACTTAGATGGAGAGCTTAACAAGGATACTTGACTATAAGCTCAACCATGAAATCATGCACATTAATTATTCTGCCAATGTCTGGGTGAACAATAATTCTTTCTTTCCCACTCCCATCTGGATGGTTGGTAAATAAATGTTCTATTCAACTTCATGTCTAATTACCCTTTCATGCACATTTTACCGTCCAACTTGGCCACTCACACGTACTTTCAGGCCATGCAGACATTGTGTGAGTGCATAAATATATTGTGTGTGTGTGTGTGCAACCATGTGTGAAAAAGACAGAAAATCTTAAACACTCCCCTTGCAACTTTCAATTTATTCACTATACACTTGTCCTATTCCAATTATGCATCAATATACGATTGCCCTACCTGATGATTGTATAATTAAAATCTAATAGATTTGACAGGTAGAGTAGGGTAGGTAGGGTAGAGAAACTAGAACTTCAACAGCCATGTCTTTAATATGAAAAGTCTGCATTCATTTTTAAAACCAAAGCAGTCGTTGGTGCAATTCTTTTTTGCAATTTCATGTTATATGTGTATCAGATAGCTAATTTATTTTTTTATATGTCATGGTAACTCTTGCTCAATTTAATTTATTGTCTAATTCACAGCAAAAGGAACACCAGCATGCAATTCCACCCCTGAGAATCATCTCGTCAGACTGCCCATGGACTGTGTTCAGCCCGGGACTGATTCCAAATACTACAACGCTGGCCGCTGCCCTCACAACAAATGTGCTGGCTCCCTAGACTTTGATATGCGCTGCAGAGATGGAGCTGCGTTCTGCTGTGGGGTCCAAAATATGGAAAGTAGAATAATTGACTGTGGGAGCTACAGCCTCCCTATCCGGGCTGTGACACAGTGTAGCTGTCAGAAATGTGTGCAGCCGACTGTGCTTGTTCGTGGTAGAGTGGTCACAGCTGACAATGATGAGCCCCTGCGTTTTGGGCACATCTACATTGGCAAAGAGAGGGTGGGCACCACTGGATACCAAGGAAGTTTCACATTACAAATTACTCCTGATACACATAGGTTAGTGGTAAATTTTGTTGACCCGACCCAGAAGTTTCTTGACACTCCTAAGGTGTTCATCTTTGATAAGAAAGGTGGGTCCATCTACCATGATGTGAAGGTGATGAGAAAGCAGACACCAATTGATATCAATGCAGGAGAGACCAACTCTATCAACCTGGGGGAAATTAAAGGGGAAGATCCCATTGGTCAGTTGGTTATTCCTCCCCATTCCTTCCACAAGGACAACGGAGAAATCTATGAGGGAACTGTGAAAGCCAGCGTCACATTCATTGACCCAAGAAATATCACCATGGCGGCTGCGGCCCCTGGCGACCTCAACTTTGTGGACAATGAGGGTGACATGCTCCCTTTAAGAACCTATGGTATGTTTTCAGTGGACTTCAGAGATGAGACCAACAAGGAGGTACTTGGAGCTGGGGCTGTTCAAGTCCTTCTTGACACACAGCACGTCAAAATGCAAGAGCACATTCCAAAAATGAAGCTGTGGTCTTTAAACCCAGACACAGGAGTCTGGGAAGAGGAGAGTGACTTCTCCTACACTACAACTACTGGTGGTCATGGGCGGAGCAAACGTGAGGAACGTACTTTCCTCATAGGCAACATGGAGATTAGAGAACGTAGGCTCTTCAATTTAGATGTTCCTGAAAACAGACGCTGCTACGTCAAAGTCCGTGCCTACATGAGTGACAAGTTCTTACCTAGTGAACAGCTGGAGGGTGTTGTGATCAGCTTGATAAACTTGGAACCCAAACCTGGTTATTCCTCTAATCCAAGGGCATGGGGGCGCTTTGACAGCGTCATAACTGGACCCAATGGGGCCTGTTTACCAGCTTTCTGTGATGCCCAAAGGCCTGATGCTTACACAGCTTATGTCACAGCAATGATGGGTGGGGAAGAACTGGAGGCAGCTCCTTCCTCTCCTAAGATGAATCCAAACATCATTGGAGTGTCTCAACCATACCTGGATAAAATAGACTACCAGCGTTCAGACCACGAGGATCCCGCTCTGAAGAAAACAGCCTTCAGAATCAACCTGGCAAAGCCTAACCAAAATAATCTTGATGAGACCAACGGGCCAATATATCCATATCAGAATTTAATAGCTTGTGAAAATGCCCCTGTTGATGCAAACCATTTCAGATTCTTCAGAGTGGAAAAGGACAAGTATGAATACAATGTTGTTCCCTTTGAGGAGAATGATTTGACGACCTGGACGGGAGACTACCTCTCCTGGTGGCCTAATCCCCAGGAGTTTAGAGCATGCTTCATTAAGGTCAAGGTCCATGGACAAAAAGAAGTGATGGTCAGGTCGAGGAATCTGGGAGGAACACACCGGGAAACAAAAGGCAAGCTTTATGGTATAAGAGACATTCGCAGCACTCGGGACATGCGAGAGGCCAACACCTCTGCAGCCTGTGTAGAGTTCAAATGCAGTGGCATGTTGTTTGATCAAGCTGAGGTGGACAGATCCCTCATATCAGTCCTTCCTCAGGGGAACTGTCGTAGGGTTGGCACCAACAACCTCTTACAAGAGTATCTAATCAAACATCCACCGGTCGCTCAAAATAATGAGTCTCATGCATTCACCATGCTAGCCCCTGTTGATCCTTTGGGACATAACTATGGCATCTACACAGTCACAGACCAGAATCCCAGGGTAGCCAAGGAGATTGCTATAGGCCGCTGCTTTGATGGCACCTCCGATGGTTTCTCCAGGGAGATGAAATCAGATTCTGGAGTGGCGCTGACCTTCAGCTGTCCAGAGAGGAAAATTAATAGAGAAAGCCTTTTCCAACGTCTGCAGACCAACCCAGGTCAGACTCTGTCTCAGATGGCGAGGGACATGAGGGAGTCAGAGGGTCTGCAGGTGCAGAGATTACCCACCCAGATGGTGGCCTATCCTTCAGACCAGCGGGGCAGGACCCAGAGTCGCAGAGTCAGCTCTACAACCAGAAGGAGAGTGTCCATGCGCACACAGCAACGCCAATAGATGTGCCAAAAGGTAAGTTTAAATTAGATCATTTGAGATGTCTTCATATTGCCAGCAATATCAGAATTATTTTAATGTTCTTTGTATTTCATTTCTAGGTCTTCCGTCAAGACTGATATGATGACATCAAGTTGAGGGAGTATTGTTGATGAATATGAACCCCCTCTTGACTATGGAAACCACAAATCTGAGACAGCAATTTGACAAAACCAATGAGTATGATTGAACATATTCATTAGACTTATACTTACTTGAAAATTTTGTTATATACATTTCTTCCTTCCCTCCTAAAAGACATGCATCTTTTGTCTATATGTAATGCATTGACTGGCATTTATTTAATTAGCTTTGGTCGTATGTATGAATAGACTAAATTGACTGATTAACTTTTATAGTTCTAATTTGAGGCATTCCACTTTCCCATTGTGGGTGTTTTTGCTGACGTTTCTCAAAGTTTGAAACCAAACCTTCAAAAACCGTAAATACTATGCCAGGCCCCAAACACTTCATAATTGGCCATTGCTTTCCACTGAACTTTTCTTCAAGATCAGAAAGAAACCAACTTGAGGTCCTTGTTGTCTGCAGCAGACACAGAGCCCTTTACAAACTGGGAAACTCTCTCCACCAAGGGGGCACACACTCAAAAGAGACATGTTGGGTGCAGTGGGGTGAAGTATGCCACCCGGGGAACAGAGGATGTTTTCAGTCATGCTTCTTAATGTTTTTCATTACCATACCACATTGCCAACTGTGATTCAGCCAAACGTCCTTCACACCTACTTAGAATGTGCAAGACTGAGGCCTTCGCCAAGACAAGCATGGATCTCACTTGTGGCAGGCAGTCTAAAATGAGGATAGTTGATGGTATAGTTGAGGTATGACATAATTTCCTTTTGTCCTCTGCACATTCCAAGTTAGCATCACCAAACAAAATGTTACTCAAACTATATCTTCCTAAATATTTCACTTTCTCTGAAATTGTTACAGAGACTAAATCAGGGTCTAAATTGACTTTGTTTTTATTGTTGGGTAATATGTTTGTCAGCTGCCTTTGTATCTTGAAGTGCAATAACTATATAATTTAACTTAAGAATGTTTAAAGATCAGCATGTAACAAACTATTACAATACATAAAAAATGCTGCTGGTGAATGAAGCAACAACTCTTTCAGTACTTGCGGCAGGTGGTGTGGTTAAGCTGTTTGTATGAGATCTTGCACAGGACAAATTTTGAGTGATTTTAAGCAAATAATGTAACTGCTATGTCATGTAATCATTCTTCAACTCTCTGAACTATGTAGAATCTATTAACTTTTTTCATACTTTGCTGCATGGCTCAGTTGATTTTACAGTTTGTACACCACAATAATTTTTCTTCAAACTTCAGAGAGCAATCTTGTTAGTGGGAGTTATAACTCTCAGTGGAGCCTTCTCTTCATTAACAAAACCCACCGCGTGATTCTTACACACGTGAGTGATAATTAAAAAGTGACACACTTGAATTTGCTGTTGTTTTCAGAAATCCTACCATTGTGTAATAGGTATGTGTGACAATGGAAGTACAATAAAAGTATACATCTTGATAGATATTGAGACTGATTAAAGACTTAAAAACTAGGCTATTGTAATTTAGGTCGGTAGAAGCTCGACTCAGTGATTAAAGCTTCACAATTGTTAATCTGCAAAATGGGCACTTGCAGACCCATGGGAGAAGTACTTCAAGCTGAACTAATCCAAAACCAAATAAGGGGGTGTGCATGGAGAAACCAGTAGAGCCTGACAAGTAAATATAATCCTTCTGCTAATTAGAAAATAAATTACATATTCTCTTGAACTATTATAACAGTTTGACCCTGACTTTCACAAACAGCCAAACAAGTTAATTTCTAGGATACAAAGGGTTAAGTTAAGTAATCAACAGTACACTGGACCCAAGAAGATTATGATCTAACATATTTACCATCAAAATGGCACCCAGCCGATTGTACAGTTAACTTTTGAAGGTGTTTTCAGTTTGATCCATTTAAGCCTGATTACATTTTTATTCCTAATGTGCAACATATGCGTTGTTTAATGTGTGCTAAAAGGTGACAATGTGAAGTAGTATGTATAAATACAACCATATATTGTAATCCTACACTTGTACTTAGCCCCACTTCGAAGAACAATCTCTTTCCATTAAGCCCCATGAGCAGCGCACTCCAGACAAACACTAAAAACAAAGTAATATAGGGTGACAACACATGGTACCTTCTACATTATCACTGACCTCTCTAACCACAGGCCTCTGGGCCATCCATGACTGAACAGTTCAGATCTCCAGATGAAAACAAACATCTCCCTGCAGCAGATGTAGCATCCACCCTGTAAGAAAGATGATGATTGAGTCCAGGTGTGGGAAGAGATAAGTCCTATAAAAATGCAATGGTGTGTGAGGTCAGCTGAGGAGGCCCAACAGCTGTAGAGCAACTGGAGGAAATGTTAGACCAAAGACATCAAGAGAAAAAGGAGCAAGATTATCTAGTGATGGATTTAATCATTTTGGGGTACTGTTTGGTAAATGGAAAAAAGAAAGGGAAAATATTAGTAGTCTTTGGCCTCACAGTCCATCACTTACAGAATATCAGGCTTCGAAAGTGGTTGCACATGGAAGAATGCAGGTTTCTGGAGGAGAATGCTTTGACAGGAGAATTGGCTTATTCATGAGGAGAAGTTATCAGGGGAGTTTGAAGGACAAGGTAACAATAATAGACTGAGTAAACCATTATATAAGGCTTTGCATGGGAAAGTAAGCTGGGTTCTCCAAACAGTTACTTCGTCTTCTGGGAAACTTCAAAGGAGATTAGAAAAACTCTGCAATGTTTGGTTTAATGATTTGTGAAAAAAATTCCAAAGCCTTTAGAATCAAATAAAACACATTGGAAAGATTAATTTTTATGGGAAAAAAGTTTTATCTTATTGAATCTCAGTAGGAATGGCAGCAGTAGTAGCACTACTACTACTAACTATTTAATTTTACAGGGATTCAATGATCTCACAGATATGGCTTAATGGAGCTTTGTGTATTTTTGTTTTACACTTTCAAAGGAATAGTTTGACATTTTGGTAAATATACTTATTTGCCTTCTTGCTGAGTTAGATGATAAAATCAAATTGCACTCCTATCTATGTCCATTAAATATGAAGCTACAGTCAGTAGCTTATTAGCTTAGCTTAGCATAAAGACTGGGGAGACCAGGGTCTCCTGGAAACTGCAACATAGTAGCAAGGCAACTTTACAGTGACATCAGGACAGGTTGTTTTCACACTTTTGCACAGATAAAACAGATATAACATGTTCATTAGAAAAGCTTTCACTGTGCTTGTAGACAACTTTTGTTACCTTTGGACAAAGCCAGGCTGGCTCTTTTTAGCTGTCTTTAGGTTAACCATGACATGAGGGTGGTACTGATTGTCTCACCTAACTCTCTGCAAGAAAACATATAAATTCCTTACCTAATTATTGTACCTAAAACAAAGACAGTATGTTATTGTTACTGTTTTTTAAAGATATTTTTGGGACTTTCGTTCCTTTATTTGATATGACAATTGAAGATAAGACAGGAATGGGGGGAGAAAGAAGGCATGCAGAAAAGGGCCACAGGTGGGATTTAAACCCAGGCTCTACCAGGTGAGCTACCATGCACCCCTACTCTTTCAGTTGTAGCCCTACTGTCTTGAGTGCTTGACAGTTGGTATTTTTTAGGGTATTTTCATCCCCCTAGACTTACTGGCTACGGAAAAAGGAATCTGGTGAACCTGATGTTGCCTCTTTGTCACAGAATTTCAGTAGGTGCATGTATTGCTCACTGGTACCATTTAACTTTGGGGCAGAGAATAACAAGACTCTAAATCCACCAGAAACCAACAAGACTCTCACAGTAACTTAAGCATGAACAGATTAATCAATTTTCTCTTCTGTACAGTCCAACTGGTCTCAAGGAGATCACAATTTATTTAAGAGGTCATCCTTGAACATTACCATCCCTTTCTGGTATACAAAGAGATTTGTATATGTGGCACTGTGCTCCAAGAAGCCACCCTGAGCTCCAGTAAAATAATTACATAAATTAACTCCTGATAATTCTAGTGCATGGTGATGCCAATCTCTTGTTTCTCTCTGAATTAAGTTTTTATGTGTAAATTGTGTATTGTATGAAATTTACTATAATTGTACGAACAAAAAAATGTAAATAAATGATTTTGTGTAAACTTTCATTCATACCCTTTCCGAGTTGTGTATAGTTGTGTAAAAATGTGTTTTGGTCTATTCTCTATCATATATAATATCTCATAGTGTCCATTAATTTAATTTATGAATTAAACAATACAAATAAAATGTTCAACTTTGCATAAGTCACAACAATAAATACATTTATAACATACCATATAGGCCAGATATATAATTCACAAAACTAACAAAACAAAATGCAATAAATTAGCTGAACATATAAATGTAAGGAAAACAAGAAACCGCTCCTGACCTGTGCAGAATCCTGAACAATGTTTACTTTGACTTTCCTACCAACACAGTATAGCTGCATGTATGCCCATTTCCCTCCAGGTGATGAGTTACAGACGTTTTTAGGCAGTGGAATTATTATTGTAATAAAGTTGCACCACAGGGGGCACAGCAGGGAGGAAAATGAGTGTTGAGCCACACTGTCACTCACACCTTCATGACTGGTCTCTGTGCCTCTGCCAGAAAACAGAGCTGACACAAAATATAGTGAGTGACTGCTCTCGCCACTAAGGAATAAAAAAAAAACACACTTGCATCAGTGCATACACACACATAAAGCTAGAAAAACAAATTTTTCTTGAGTCAATGGTGCATTTCAGGTCATGAACCTTCCTCCGGCGCCTCACTAACTGTTTCTTTTGAGTCCCACTGCGTCATTAACAGACAAACCTGTCCAAGCACAGGCCAGGAATAGAGAGAAATGCTGATGGAGACATCTTAATGCCCTGACTACCACCAAACATAATTGCAGTGCCCTTCATGTGTGTTCTACTTGCTGGAACTCTCACTGAGTTAAAAAACTGTCCAGAAATACATATTCTGAAAGGGAGTTTCTGTTGCATGACATCACTGGAATATGTGTCTAAATTTATCCATTGGCCACAACTCAACTAGTATGACTGCTTGTCTGTGACTTTAACAATTTGAGGCCTCAGGTAACACTTAAGACATGGAAGAGGATTATTGGTAGTATAATGATAATATAGGTAATGAACATAAATCAATACTTCAATACTATACACTGAAAGGAACTCATTACACTTCCACTATTACATGACTACAAATTCTTAACTGAAAATGAGAGGAATTATAAAAAACTAATTTATGCTCTAAAAGGTACTACTAAAAGGTGACATATGTTGCTTATTCCAATACACTGGCCGTCAGGTTGGACCTCATAATTACAAACATACCACAACTTGTTAGAATCCACATGTTTTGCCAGAAAATCCAGATGATAATAATTTCATTTTTCACTCATCTATGCTATTAATTTTGTGCATTTTGTCCGTTTGAACTGCATTTTCAAAGCACTAGATTTGCACTGCAGTTTGCATATATTGTAATGACTCCTTTTAACTTAACATGACTTAAAAACACAAAGGCTTCATTTCTGCCTGCACATGAATTTATCCCCTCATTGCAATTATGGTTTGATTTTTGCGAATTACCGTGTTGGATTTAAATTAGAGATAACATTTGGAAGCATCTTCTATATGCCGAAACAAGTAAAAACTATTTTAGATCCACTTTGGCAGATAGTGGGTTTCAACAAAGGTTGTAATAGTTAGTGCAAATTTGACTTCTCGAATGTAAAGAAAAAACATATCTCACTTACTAACAATATTATCTTCTTCAGGAATCCTTCAAAGTCTAGAAAATTATCAATAGGCAAATCAGTTTCATACTGTCAATAATAAAATATACTGGTTAGTTCTATATGACAAAATTTGTCTTTTTATGTTGCATATTTGCTACTGTCTGGTGTGTTATCAAGGTCAGCAGTGAGCTTTCCATGTTCAGTATCTGGGATGAGTCTCTACCTGGAATGCCAACAAGAAAAACTCTGAAACAATTTAATGATGTCATGTCCTCTTGAGACAATCCTCTCTATCATCCTGAGTTCACAACAATCAAAGTAGAAACGGTCTGTGAAAATGACAGATAAGGCTTAGGAATGTTTCAGATGGCTTGGGTTTGTGGAACATGTCTTAAAAATAGCCCGGGTGGGCTCGCTACAGCGATCTCATGAAGGGCTGAAGGATGAGGCTGTTCAACTCTTCTGATCCGCAGGAAACGGCTGTAAGGAGAGACGACTGGCGTGTTTCACGTACACGTTGCCATCCTCCAGCTTGACTTCATACACCTTTTGCTGTAAAAATCAAAACAAAGCCATACCAAGACATAAGAGCTGGAATAAACACACCATCATGAGCTACTGTGGAAGCAGTAATGTGCCAAAGTACAAGTAAGCTTACAGTGTAGTAAATGTCACTTTTCACAAGTTAAAAAATAAAAAGAATACAAAAAGAATATTTCTTCTATGTCTTGATAGTTGACGTCGCAGTCATGTACAAGAGAAACAACAGTTCATAGAAATGATTAATGGAAAAGAGGATGAGATGTTTATGGAAAGTGAAGCTCTTGTTTGTGCTGTTCATTGACATCCAAACAACAGAATAGGGGAAGAAAAGATGTTTTACAGAACACAAGGGGAACATAATCTTAACCCCGACTGATGAGCTTTGATTTCTCATGCCGTGTCAACCAATGGAACTTCCTAGTCTAATAGAAGTGGATGATTTGTCTACATATCACTGCGAATGTTCACGTCAGCTCCCAGGTGCAGTCAGCAAGTAAAGCTCCTGCCTCCGGGGATGCAATCAAGTTTTCATATGACGTATTTGGAGGTTTGATACAGATTTAATGATGATATTGGGCATCTTTTGAGCATCTTTTTTCCCTACTATATATTTCACTTTATAGTATTTATGTGTATATACATATATACATAGCTGTTTTGGTGAATACTAATAATAATAACACAATATTATTCCACCACTGACCTGTAACGAGGTCCCTGACTTCCCAGTTCTGAGGTCGAAGTCATAGTCGTGCCAGGGGCAGAAGACCTGCAGGACCCCATCAGCCTCCTCGATGTCCCCCTCACACAGAGGACCGCCTGGGAGACACAGGATATTGTTAATCACATATTCTTGCTCCCAAAACAAATGACTTTTGCTGTCTTCCTTCTAGGAAAATGTGATTAGGAAAGTGTGTAACATAACATAGTGTGACACTGCGAGAGAGAAAAACAAACCAGATTCTCATTTTCTTAGAGGTAATGTTAGTGCTGATCCGCCTATGTATTCACTGTAGCCTAGATAGTGAATAACCTACACTTATTATTTTATGTCTACATAAATGAGATGTATGGCATTGTTCTCCCTTAAGGGATATCTTAAGGGTTAATCTAAGCGGGTATGGATTTGGATATAGAGGATTTTACCGGAATGTGCACAGCGAGCATCCATGGCAAAAAACTCCCCCTTCACGTAGAAGAGGCAGACATCAGAGCTGTGTCCGAGGGAGGAGTACATTAGACGGCAGCGCTTCTTGGAAAGCCCCGTGGCCGGGCCTATGAGCCTCCACGAAGCGCCTTCCGTGTTCCCCTCTTCATCTCCGGAGCCAGAAGCCATAAAGAACGGCGAAATGAACTGGTTTTCTAATTTGCACTACTACAGGGCTGCATTTTTCCGCCTGTGCAAACGGATTTGGCTGTTCAATCTGTGAAAATATTCCATATTAACCAGCTGGCCGACTGGTACGACGGTCAGCCGTGCGGGCTGAGCTGCTGCCTCCATCCGAGCTGCAGCCTGCCAGCCAGTCAGCCAGCCGAGGCGCGCAGTGTGCTCAAGCGCGACTGCTCTTCACTTGGGCTGCATGTGGATGAATGCTTGTCACAGATAATAAATAAGCAGCAATGATATTCCACACAAACCCAAAGGATTCAAATATGCTTCGCGTTGCTTTCAAATATTCAAATGCCCTAAAATAGTCCGAAAGCTCTGGCAGCAGCCAGAACAAGCGTGCAGACAACAGCCTTCACATGCAAAGAACTTATTGTGGGGACATATGTTTCATTATGAATGGACCCAGACAAACCGTTCCTGTTCTTTAATTGGTCTGTCTCATAAACTGTTTTATGTTCAAACAATGGAACTCTGTAAATATACTCATTCTAGGCTTTCTTGGTGGCCCTACTGAGTTTATTGAGAACACTTAAATATAGTGTTGGACTTGTTCCCAAAGAGTTTGGTAAATGTGGAACATTACTTTTTATGTGCTGTGCAAATAGTTCAAAATCATTTCTCAATTATCAGTTATAAAGCCTGTTATTGTTCTTTCATGGCAGACTGCGTACTGTACTGTGCTCCAGACAGGTATTTGGCTGATTCAGACTCTCTCTCCACCAGTGTCCACGTGTCAACCATGTGATGTTGTCTCTCACTGCAAAACAAAAGAAAAGAAAACATTTGAATAATTCAGTTGTGGTCAGCAGTGGACTTAAATATGGAATAGATCAAACTTAACCTGTGAAAGACAGATTTTAAAACAGGATTTCCAACTTGTGTCTGTCAGTTTAACCGGAATGAGACCTTTCATATGTGTGAATAAGTCAACCATCTGTGTATGATCAAAGAAGATTAATTACTCATGATTAACACCAGTGTATACACATGACCTCTGTAGTAGCATTGAAGTTGAGCTTATTGCGAAAAACAAAAATACATAAACGATCTGTATTTCTTCAAGTTTTATTCACTTTGTCTTCATTGCTTTATTGTGCCAGTAATAATGCTGCTGGCAGTTTAGCCTTTAAGTAATGTGAGTTACTGTCTAGACTGGAGTGATGCATAACAGAGGCCACTTGTTCTGATTCCTGAATTTGAGAAACTGACTCATGTAAAGCTGCAGCATGAGCGCAGAGGAGAGCAGTAATGCTGTGAAAATGTGTGACGGACGGGAAGAAAGAATGCTACTGCTTCTTGTCAAAAGCTGGATCTCAGCAAAAGTAAATGTGAAGTTTAATCACAGAGGGATAAGGAAAGCCAGTGTAAAGAAACCTGAGCTAAGTGACCGAATTGTCAAATATGTTTTGGGCCAAGTTAACTAACATGAAGGTTATCATCATTATAGCTCATTCTACATACGTCTCCACCTGTGACCTTTAACACCTTGAAGTGTAGATGTATTAAATGGATGCTAAAGCCACAAAAGACTACATGCCAGTCTGGATTGAAATCGTGTTGTTGTGTTGTTTTTGCGGATTTTACACTGTCAGCATCACTGCATTGATACTTCTTGGTCCTGCCTTATAATAAAGATATTTTTTATTATTTTTTAAGTATTTACTACCATACACAGTATGCTTTCAGTGTGTAAGGAATTATAAAATGCATTTTTTATTCAGTCTTTACATGTACTTACCAAAGACCAATGTTCAAACATGGACAGGACCAAATTAGCTTGGCATGACTTATTACCCACTGCCAAATGACAAATTAAAGCTGGAAAAATTGAAAAAATCATAAGTGAAGTGTTTTTTAACTTGTTAGCAGATGTGAATACCTTGGCGTACTGATTAGCAGAGGTTGGCTTAAATCATGCGGCCTCCACTCCTAAACCTCCTTTAATTGGAAAATCACCAAAGGTGTTTATTTTCAACAATGCTGCCAAGTATTACTTAGAGGGCAGGGTCCAGAGGTTATGAAATGGGCCTCAGAGGGTATGAGCCAAAAAGGTGTACAGTGAGGTGGACAGTCTGCAGGTCCGAGGTGGCACTGACAGACCGACAGTCATTACCAACAGCTCTGCTTTGGCATGCTGCGAGGTGAGAAAACTGCTGCACATGCTGTGAATCAAATTAAATGAGCTCCAAGTGATTTGAGTAAAAAAAAACATAAAAAAAATATAAAATTAGAGAAATCAAATGATGTATTGGGGAAAATCTGAATAAGTAGGCTTGATGGGATTAATAAACAAAAGGTGCAGGCAGACAGAAACAGGCCAAAATGATCACAGGAGGATAGTGCTGTCTATAAATTTCTTTGACTTCTCGTTGCAGTACTCCGACCACTGGACAGTGTAACTATTTGCATGAGGCAAAATTTGGTGTAGAGAAAGTTTGGCTCAGATGAGATATTAGACCATGTGTGGAGCCCAAACTCATCCATCATTAGCTTCGTCTTGTCTACAACCCAGCAACCACCCTCAAAAGTCTCCTAACTCATCCGCCAAGGATGGATGGAAGACCAACTCTCCAGCCAACGTGGTTTTCATTAGCTAAGCACTTGCTTGAGCCAAGCGTAAAACACCACTACCTGTGTGCTTTGCTTCTTGTTCTAATAGGTCTTGTCATTCAAAAGCTTCTTGTTTAATGTAATGACGTGAGGACAGCATTATATAAAGCTCCCACATTTAAAGGTAACACTATTGTTTGCACGGTACTTGATGTCCTCTATAACTACGGATTAATAATAATATATATATAATATATAATGTATATAATGCCATAATGTCGCTATGTCACTTCAAATGCAAATCCAGACTCAACTTTGATGTTCAGTGGACAGGAAACTGAACCCACAACTGACTCCTCGGCCCAGTCCCAATGTCTGCCCTCATAGACCTGCATTCCCATTAAGCCCCAAGGCTCTCTGCTGTCCCACTGTGAAAACGATAAGTGGTGGAGGGCCCTTTTTTGAGCTCTTTTTGCATACTTTATATAAGTCTGCAGACTTTGCCTCAGGGAACAATTCATAGCGTTTTAATGTCAAAAATGGGTATAACAGGAAGTCCAAAATCATAAAGAACAAATGTACATATAGTAGGAAGCACTAGTTCTTTATTTTATGAAAGCTTGATTATGTTGATTTGTATTCATCGTCATCAAACATTACTAATAACATACAGGCTATTATACTCCCATATAGTTTGAATAGTTTGACATTTTGAGAAATACGGTTGTTTGCTTTGTTGCCGAGAGTTAGATAGAACATCTACACAGCAGGCGTAGCATGAGCAGCACGTTAGCAGCTGCAGGTTCACTCCTGCCATCTGTGTATATACAGGATGCGGCCATGCACAGTATTGAGTGTATGTCACCTGTCAGGGGCAGAGCAGAATGGTGACTTCAGGGACTCCAGCCCCAAATGTTTTCTTAAAAGCCCCAATCTTTTAGGCTTTTAGGCTATAATGACTTCAACTGTATGTAATTTCCCCTCAATCTCTCTGACTGCACCAGAAGATCAATAGATCAAAAGTTCTATTAATAGGGAATTATCGCCATTTATTACAGTATTAAGACAAATGGCATATTAACATGTAGCAGATTTGTCAGCTAAACATTCTTTCCGTAAAATCTACTCTACTACGTGAAAAAAAGGTTTCAAGATTGGTAATGCTGTTTACATCAAATTTCTATTCAAATATAATTTTTCTTTTTAGGTGTCAGGAGGGAAAATAATTCATCATCAACATCTGTTAGATACAACATAGGATGTAGCTTTTTCCTGGGCTACTATGGGGCCCTGTCACCTGCATGTTGGCAGCACATAATCACTGTAATTACAATAGAAGAAAATAGACTTAAAGCATAACAATATTGTTGTGTGGCTTTGTTTGAAGGTAATTCAGTTATTTCTTGGGTGAGTACAGATACTTCCTGGAGTTCCTGCTGGTTGCCTGACAACATCATGGTAACAAGGCTCCAGGAAGCCACCATCTTGCAAGATGGCTCAGTGGTTAACACTGTGTGTTGCCTCACAGTAAATAAAGTTGATTCTTTTCTTGTACTACAGCAGGACTCCCATGCTCTCCGAAATAACATCAGACCTAAGAGAGAGGACACTAATTAAGGTCAAAGTCCACACAAAGTCTTAAGTCATGGGGGTGGACAATACAATAAAACACCAAATAATAAGAAAACAGCCGAAACGTTGTTTTGAAGGAAGCCACACAAATCCCCAATATCCCACAATCCCACAAATAAGTACAGCGGGATACTGGATAGTTTGACAAGAAGGAAATCATCCAGTTCTGTGAGGGATGGGACGGAGGCAACTCCAAACTCTGTGATTCCGATCTCATAAAGGTTCGATGTTTAAATCTGGTGGGCGGCCATGGAAGGATCTTGTTCTTAATAGTGTTCATGAGACCACTCTGATTTGTTTAGCAGTGTTTATGGGCGCATCAGGATCTTGGAAAACAGGATCATGGTCAGGGAACAGTGTTTGCACCACCTGGACCTGTAAAATATTAGTTTTTGGTTATTATATGACCATGCAGAGCAATAATCAGATCTAATGACACGACATGGCTGCTCACACCATTACAGATCTGCAGTATTAAACTGTTGGCAGCAGTCAATACAGACTAAAGGCATCTTTTGGCTTTTTCCAAACATAAAGCTGCCTGACTGAAGGAAAAAGGGTGAAAGGTAAGATGACTCATCAGACCAAATTTTGGTCTGAAATGTGGAAACTTGACAAAACAGGACAATGAACAGACCTCTTGCTGCTAATTGGCAACCAACTTAATATGTGACATGTAATTTGTTGTGATTTAGTTACTTCAAGGTCAGTAATCTTTTATGTGTTGTGGTCATTCTTCCTGCGTCTATCATTCAAGATTATTAATGCAGATGAAAATTCAAACAGAAATGAAGAACACCGATTTTGAAATGTTGATTAATGGCCTTGTTTGCTTCCTTTCAGATTGGACTTGAGTGAGTTCAATCACATTAGCGTGATTGATTGTGCTGAAATGTGAATGCAGACACTTCCTGCTCTCCTCTCTGTCCACATTTTCACAGTCAACTCAACATACATCTTTCTGCAAACGTACTTTAACATTCTTAATGTTCCATAACAAGGTCATTTTTCATGTATAAAGGTTAGTGCTGACATTTAGATACAGCGTGCTATGTCCTTGGAGATGTAATCTGACGGGATAAATGTGATCC